ACGCAAAGGTGTTAGAAAGGAGGTGCCGTGAAATAGTTGACGCCAAGATTCAAGAAGAGCAGTGTGGCTTCTGGCCCTGCCGAAGCACCTCTGACCATATATTTGCACTGCGCCAGATTGTTGAGAAATCGCGGGAGTACGCCCAGCCGGTGTACATGTTTTGTGGACTTAGAGAAAGCGCATGACCGGATCTCACGCATCATGGTAATGTCGACCTCCTCCTAAGTCCTTTGTCCAGCACCCACTCATATATCTTCATGGTGGACTAAGAAGCTTAATTCTCCGATAGTTTTCACAGGCGAGTATCTCTCCTTTCATTTCGAGCGGTGGCGTCAAAATACTCTGCTTCCATGATTCTGAAACCTTCTCACGCTACATAATTTTGCTGATTAGCGCGGACAGCCTAACCACGCCTTCTCGCCCCAGTGCCTTCCATGCTTCTAAGGGAACTCCGTCCAGAACAAGGGCCTTTTATATTTCATTCTGCTCAAGGCTTGTACCTTCGCCCCGAGATCTTTTCCACTAGACCCTGGTGTTGTGGGATTTTTTTTCCGCTACTTCACTGGGATGTTCTTCCTACAGTAGCGTTTGAAAATGCCTTCGCCATCTGCTGCGAATATTTTTATCATCGGTCAGCATCAGCATCACTCCGCTTTTGTTTTTAATGCACTTCGCATACCGACGTCTCATGTTCTTCATTCTCTGTCTTTTGCAATGTGCTAGACGTCTTTCCCCTCTTCCTTTGTTGTCAATTTTTCGTATAGGCTCTTGCACTCTATAGACTTTGCTTCAGCGACAACTTTCTTTGCATCCGTCTTTTATATGGCATACTTTACTCTGTCCTTCACGTTGTTTAATAGTTGCCATTTCTTGAACAGCTCTTTCATCTGTCGCAGAGACGCCCGCACGACCGCTGTCGACCATTACGTTTCTTTCTGAACATGTGCTGTACTTTTTGTTTTTCCGACCAGGCCTCTGGCATTTCGTGTGATTGTGCTGGCTCTGCTCCCATGCTTCGTCCACGTTCCCTTCCAGTTTTCCTTCGCAACTTCCAGTCTGAACGCTTCTTTCAGCTTCCTCAGAGTTTCCACTACTACATCTTTGGGGCTGTCGTCGTGCCTGCATCTACATGGGCTGTTTCAAAAAGACAGATCTAGCACCAGCGGCTGGTGCTGGCCTGCGACAGTTTCCCCAGGGACGACTTCGCAATCTCTGATGTTCTTAAGTTCTTCCCTTCGGAGTAGGAAGTAGTCGACCTGGCTTTCTTCTGCCCGCTCTTGTAGGTCAGCAGGTGGTTTTCCTTTTTTCTGGAAGCACGTGATTATTACAGCCAGATCATATGCAACTGCCACCTGAAACATGTTCTCTCCTTCTTGATTTAACATATCATGTC